AATACTATACTACTCTTTTTAGTAGTCATAAGATATTTCGAATCAAAATTTACGCATAGTCATTTTCTATCTACTCAAAGCAGTTCACAGTAAGTCTTTCTACTTAAGCACTCATAGAACAACTAACTGAAAACTCGTAAAGGAGGTCAAGATGTCGTTCTCCCTTTTACAGCTTTCCCAACATAAAAACACGAACTGAGTTGATTAAGAAAGAATAAGCACTTAATGAATACTGAGTAATGATAACTAACAGGTTCATATTATACTTTAATCGTAAATAATTTAAGTTCAAAAAAATAAATATTCAACAAGAAAATTATTGTCCACTCATAATCCAACGATTTCTGTAGTTGAAAAAAAATACTACTTGAAGAGGAGGAAGAACGAAACTCATGCAACTTGACCATGTTACATAACACTAAAAAGTCATTATTAATAACATCATTTATTAGTAGATAGTGACTAAGAGTTGAATCTACGATGTGTGTTTCGTCCTACTTTGAACTCGTCATTTGAATGTATCTGTCTCCTAGTCAATGGCTTTGTCCTCACTAAGACTCGAACCAGGGACCAGCTGGCGAGTCCCAAGTAGGGCGAAACGTACCTCCTGGATTCCACTGCTAGTCACTATCCATTATGATTTTAAAAAGTCGAAAATAACGGTAGTATCGAAGCATCCACTCAGGAGCCCATATGCCAATAGTGGTTGATCAATTCAACCCAATCAACGATGGAGACCCCCAAATTCAAATGAACTAGTGCTCATTGGTGACTAGCTTTGAGAGGTGATTCCTGAAGTTTCAATGAGAAGTCATGACCAGTGGAGCAAACCTGGTAACCGTGAGGACAAATACTCAACGGTGACATTCAGTGGCGGTTGCGCTATGTCATGAACTGACACAAGTTTGAAATGTGGACCACTAGATCCGACCCAGTGGCTTAATGGCAACATGCTAGCCACGGGACCTGAAGGTCCCGGGTTCGGTCCCTGGCAAGGCAGGGTCATGGGTGTGCACTGTTGAGTCCCATACTAGGACGGAACATCTGTCCAGTGCTCCCAGGTTGCCAATGTTCCTCCAACTGATGTCAGTCCGTGATGAATACCAACTTGAATATATATATATATATATATATATATATATATATATATATATATATATATATATATATACGTTGTATAAGGGTTAACTTATCCATACACACAAGCAATTGATGTCACACTGAACGCTAAAAGCATTAAGTGTGTTAAGCAATGAGAAGTGCTGTAATCCTTGGCCACCGTGTAAATAAACATGTTCCATGCATTATGACATACCTGGGCTAAAGCTAAGGACAATGAAATGCAATTTAAGTCTTGAGTGAAAGTATCTTAGTATTTTTCACGTGTTTCTCCCCCGCCAATTGTAAGTAATGATGCATCGTCACTAGTTCGGAGCAGTGCCTAGTTCAAGGGTAGGAGGTGAAGTATTGGATTATGTTAACCGTTTCACCTACTTTGTGATTTGTAAATGAGTTTTTTGCTAATGAAATCTCAGCTAATATAATAAAAGAGTTTACTTGTTGCTTGCCAACTTACTCCATCTCTTGCATCCGTGGGATATCCTACTATCGATTAAAGAATGAATATACCGAGCTGCAGATCACTCCACAAAATTGTACGGCTAAGAGGCAGCCGATGGAAGTAGAAGACATGACCACAGGTGTATTTGCAGCATTGATGACAACATGCAGTAGAACTATGTGAACAAGGTGACAGCCAAACGTAGACTACCAAACCAAGAAAGGTATGTCAAATGACAAAGGTGTGAACCTTTACCGACTTATATTGATTTGGATAGCTAACTTTGACGTATTATCCTAGGAGCAGTAAGATTAGTTAGGAAGAAACGTATATCAGGCAAGAAAACGACGTCACACAAATCTATCAGGTCTCTGGTTGTTGCTCTGCACGGAAATCGTGGTTAACTGCAGAGGATCCTTGAGATAATAGAAATCAATACTTGAAAATTCTTCGTATCATGACTTACAAGTTGTCACAGGTGTATGTACTGTTCACCGTCTTCAAAAGGTTTCAACAGTTTTACTAACCATTACTTATTTACTTATTATCATTTTCTTCCGTTTAATTTTTCCATACACGCAGATGTGCAATCTGGCAACTTGAATTCATGACATTTTTTGCAAAGATATAAGTTGGCTAATCCTTTCTAGATCTAAATTTCTTTTCAAAGAGTTCCTCATCGATGCCTCTACACTATTATATCATTATTAATTGTCCCCAGTGAAACATAGGGATTCAGTAGCACGTCGCCATCTCACTCTCTTCTCTGCAGTCTTCTCAACCTGGCTACACGACTCCCCATAAACTTTCATTTCTTCCCAACACCATCTCCTTCATGTCACCCTCACCTTGCACGCCCAACTCGTCGTCTCCCGTTTCGGTTCCACTCAACAGCCTGACCTGACCTGACCAGACCTGACGCCTGATGTCTCCAAACAGTCTTCCCAGTCTGTGTCCAATCCAATCCAATCCAATCCATCTCCACCTCCTTCTTCTACATATTTATTGGGTGATAGGTTGTTGGTTGGTTGGTTCGTTGTGGGGCGAGCCAGAGTTCCTTGTTGCTTATTCTTATTATTCTCACCATCCATCTGATCTTCAGTATCGAGCGTGCGATGGCAGCAGCTATTCATGATGTATGTCTGCAGTTTATTCGAAATGCCTTTCGTAACGCACCAAGTCTCTCAACCATCATATAGAAACACTGACTTACTTGACTGACATCAGTGTAAAACATCCAGATCTTGTCCACGCTTTATGCAGCAGATCTCCACACACACACACACACACACACACACACACACACACACACACACACACAGATTTAAGATTAATGAAAGAAGGCCTGACTATCTTGCTGTCTTTCCGATCCTGACTGGCTTTGACATCCTCATCTGTGTCGTCACCATCGCCGCCTGTAGTTGAGACGATGCTGCCTAGACAAGTAGGTAGGTAGGTGGGTGGGTGGGTAAGTAGGTGAAAGAGACAACTCCGTTTACATTTCTACCGTTCATGGTGATTGGTGCTTGTTGTTGTTATCGTTGTCGTTGTTGTTGTTGTTGTTGTTGTTGTTGTTGTTGTTGTTGTTGGTTGGGTATCTTCATCACCTCTGTCTTCTCTACGTTCACCTGAAGGAAGTCCCGTCTTCCTTCGCTGCCCTACCCTACCCTACCCTACCCTTCCCTGCCTCGCCTCGCCTCTTCTGCCAACTTGTTAATTTTCGCCTGAACATCTTCCAGTTTAGGCTACATAAGATATTACACATAAGTCATCATCGGCCGTGAAATCCAAATCTCCTTCTAGGCTCTTTCCATCGGTCAAACAGTGTATGCCCATCTCCTCGCTCCTCACAGTTGGTTCTTGTATGATCCAGTTCAGTTCAGTCGAGTCGACCACAATCAGGAAGATCATCGGTGACAGTAGGCGGCAACCTTGTCTTACTCCTTTCTGTCTTCACTTCAAAGGCATTACTTTGTGTTGTGAATCGCTTGGTATGCAGCGTCGTCATATAACTGTTGACTGAGGTTGATAAAAGTTTGTGACACTAAAACTGTAGTGTTGAAGCAGCTGCACACTAATATATCGCATGTTTAAAGTATTAAATGACACATCAGTATAGCGATGATAACTGTTTTATAATAGATTGTCAGTCTCAAAGTACTAAACGGGTAGAGAATTAATCACAGTAATTGAAACAGTAGATCAAGTATACACTAATTACATAGAAAAATTTGTGAAGTTTTAAACAGGTTGTTATATAATTGGTAGTTTGCATAATGGTAGCTAATATGAAAGAGAAAATGAATTATTATGCCAAATGGACAAGTGTTGACGGTTATTAGGGACAAGGAGCAAAGTGCAAGATGGCTAAAACTGTAATAATAATAATAATAATAATAATAAACGTTTGTAGGGTGAATGATTGGGAGGATGATTTTTTTTACAGATTGGCCAAGACAAAGGAAGAGGTTGTACAAATTTCCTCTGAACATATAAGCTTAACTTGTTCAAGTAGATAATTCGAATGGCTTCTGCCCTATGTAAAAGATAAACTTATAGAGTACGGGTTAGATTGGAAGAAATGTGATCGAATCTAATTGAAATGCACTCGGAAAAAACTTGTGCATATTCATGCAGTATGCAATGAGCTACATTTAGCGTGTGAGCGTTAATGATTACTATCTGGGTGGACACAGTGGAGCTGGAATCCATAACCCATTGGGGTTAAAAGTTATCTTCCTAAACCAATAACCACAGTTCCACAAGAGGAATGCGGTAAATAAGAATAAAAGAGTTACGAATACTAACTAGGTGGCCAAAGTCAACCAGATGAGAGCTTCGGATCGATTTCGTTTGCCCTTTACTTAACCGTGACGCATGATGTTCGGCGATTCGACGACGGACTTGCCTAACCCCGTACACCCACAGGGGCAGTTGAACTAGTAAATGTACAATTATCACCACTAAACTACTAGGCAATTTAATATTTTGAAAATCTTATCGATGAGGAACTAAGTGAAAGGAAATATTTCTTCGTTTACATATTTTGTTTTCTATTTATCCAGACTGTTTCCCCAATTTGTTCGCGTATTGTTTAAGGTTGTTAACTGCTGTTATCATTACATGTAAACACATTCAGCTCATTTTCCCTCTTATTTTGGTCTTCTTCTTCCAAACCTCCACACTAGAGATATGAGCGTATAAACAATGTAACAGGTAACTTTAAAGGCTACCCTAGCAACTGATAAGACATCCAAAGCGAAATATCGAAGCTTGATTAGTTCATTCAGCTTTTAAAGTCACTCCAATGTAATCCCATCCCCGTCCCCTAAAAAATAACTATCTAACTGAGATTAAAGTATCAGATCAAATCAAAAATACTCATGATATTGGCATGTTATTTGAGTATTTCATTCAGTGTAATAGTCAAATAACTTACGAAAATATGTTTATCATTTTTAATATTTTCATGGATAGGAATCAAATTTTGAAAAATATTTACAGATCCATGTATAAATTCATAGAGAGAATCGAGATTTCTTGATTGTTGATCAACAATTGATATTGTTTGCAGATCTCGATTAGCATATTCATCAGTTAATGAGAAACCTGATGATCGACGAATATATGAGATTCTTGATGTGAGTAAATTAATAAATAATCTAACATTCTGTTTCATATTCTTTTGTAATGTATGTAATTCATACGATGTTAATAAAGATATTGTAGATGATCGTGTAGTATAGTATATTTGAAAGGAGTAAACTTCAAAATCTGTTGTTAACACTAATATACGTGTTGGTAAATGAGGGAGTTGTTTACTTTCAAATAACCAACGTTTTGTAAAATTCAACTTTAATCCATCCATTGTACGTATCCATGAATTTATAATTGGATCAAATTTATACATACGATCATGTTTATCTTGAAGAAGTAAACAGTCAATTTTGCCTAAACCTATACATCCAGGTCGATCAGATGCCCATGATCGATAGAAATAGGGCTCTGTACGAGTAAGAGTTCGTGATAACAATTGACTGTAACAGAAAATAAACAAAAAAATAAATGGTTAAACATAAGGAATTATAAAACATTGAACAGTTTCACATAGATAAAAATTAGATATAAATGAATCTCAGAGGTAGACGAAGATTAAATAGATATGACACTGGGCAGTTCAGTCTGATGGAAAGTGGTAATCAAGCATGACGCATGATGGTCAAAAATCAAAATGAAGGCAGTAGCGAGCAAGTGTATATAACGTAGCCATATCATTGCTTATAGAAAGTTGTCAAGTGATTTGACAACAACTAGTATCCGTCAGGAATTTCCACTGTCACTATTCTTATTTAACTTCGTCATAGACATACTAATGGTCATAACCCGATGTATAGCTGACTTCACAGAATTTGACCTACTCATTAGAGGCCATCCTAGTTGACTTGGAATATACAGACGATATTGTTCAGCGAGTAGACGCTTACGCAATGTAAGGTCTTCTGAACGCTTTGAGCAGAAATCTGTGTATGTTTGGCATGCGTTTCGCTAGCACCTGTCAAATGTAAGATGATGCTCCAGGACTGGTCTGCTGCAGGTACTCCCAGCTAAATGATAAGGAGTGGACTGGTGGAATGCGCCGACGACTTTAATTCGAGAGTTGCATTAGCCCTAACGGGTTGGTTGCTGACGAAATCTCAGCTCAGATACAGAAGGCCAGTTTAACATTTGCCAACTCACGTCACTTGTGGCATCGGCGAGATATCCGACTATTTATCAAAGGACGAGTATAATGCGCTACAGTCCGATCTATCTTGTTTTACATCTGTGAGAAATAACCTTTAAAAGTAGACGACATGAAGCAGTTACAGGATTTTGATCATGAGTGTCTTCGTGGCATTGTTCGCGTTTGGTGGGATCACTATGTAAGCAATCTTGACGTCAAGTTAAAAATACTAGGCAAGACAAATAAGTCGATTGATGAGACTGTGAACCTTAGTCGACTAATATGGCTTCAACATGTACTGCGCATGCTGTGTCGCCGCCTAACTCGATGTGCCGTGCTAGGGGAAGTTGGCTTAAGGTAGAAAAGGGTACAGGGTGTCCACACCAAGATCTGGCACTAGTCGATAAAGTCCCTGACTCTTCATCTGAGTTATGTGCGGAGATGTAGACTGCTAGGTTAGGGTCGTCGAGACAAAAAAATCAATGGTTGAGGAGTCTTGGTGACATGGCTGAAAATCGGTCACAATAACGCAAATGTATTCACTAACTGACGTCTTCTAAAGCCTGAATATTCTCACGAACTGTTTATTCTCTCACACATCTTTATCTACTTTGATATCATTCCTTCTCTATCCACCTATCCATTATGTACTTCTGTAAAGTGTGGCAACTTGGGTCGATACATATGTGTGTGAGGTTCTACGTTGATTTTGTCAGTATCGATCCGAAGTAAAAGAACAAAGGTATTGCTATTCTGTCTGCCATGAGATGGAACATAATCCTAAACGAAGTTTATACATCATCGCTGGAAAATGTGGAGTTTGTTGAAAGTAACTAGTCAACAAAACTTTTTTTCCGGTTAAATAACTATCATGCATATTTGAACTGGGTGATGATTGAAGGAGAGATGAAAATCCGGCCGCGGTCCAGACTTTCATCTCACCTTCAATCATCATCCAGTACAAATACTAGTCTGCCAAAAAAAGGCTATCTTAGTTAAATCACATCATACATATGTTGTAGTGATCACTAAGACAGATTAAATCAATGTAGCATGATGTTGCACCAGAAGTCCATCAGTTCAAGTTATCACACTTTATAACACCAAATGATAAGAAAGGTGTACTAATACTAGGATGGATTATACAAGAGGAGAGAAAATAGATGAAAGTAAATAAGATGTTCAAAATATCGAAGATGGTTAAAAATAAATACACCTGAGCGACTTTGATCAACTCTGAACTAAATCAACAAGAGTTTCCAGCTACTGGTTTCATTACATCTCAGTTCAACAGTGAATGATTTCATGAACTGGTGTCATATCTTGATTCAATCGCCCTCAGCTGTCTTCTAAACTAATAGTTTTTTGTGCGTCGATGTAGGCACTAGTTCGGAATGCGCAACTCGTTCGAGCCATTTCAGTCAATGAAGGTTTACAGTCTATTTTGGTTAGTATTCCATAACGAACCTAAAGACTTTAAAATGAATCAAGAACAATGCCTATTTACCAAGTCATTACATCTTGCTTTAAAATATGAAGTCCAAGAATGTTAGAAGTCAACACCTAGAGAATCTAAGCAGTCAATACATGCTTTATCTTCCTTTTCATCTTGAACCAGTTTGACTTTCTCATTAGTAGGTGTTAGTTGGTTGGAGGCAATTGGCAGGAAGCCCTGGACCTAGGTTTCGTGTTTGTTGGCACGCGTCAGCAAAGCGTATCTACAACCTCGACGGGACTGATGTCCCTCCTGAGATTCGAACCCTCATCATCTAGTGTTGTAGTCAGCGACTTTATCACTGAGCTATTCGGAACGTGACTCACCTCCTATAGGATTGCCTTACATGTATTGATTAGTCACAGGAGTGGAACCGATATGATCGTTAGGATTAGGCTTGCAGTCAGGACTAGACAACGTGAAATTGGTTGCACTCCTGTGACTAATCAATACATGTAAGGCAATCCTATAGGAGATGAGTCACGTTCCGAATAGCTCAGTGATAAAGTCGCTGACTACAACACTAGATGATGAGGGTTCGGATCTCAGGGGGGACATCAGTCCCGTCGAGGTTGCAGATACGCTTTGCTGACGAGTGCCAACAAACACGAAACCTAGGTCCAGGGCTTCCTGCCAATTGTCCCCAACCAACTAACATCTACTAATGTGCACCGCAATGCTGAGCCTCCTAGCTTGGTGGCCACATTGCAAATATGATCGATAGGATTCGGTCCGCACTCAGGACTAGACAACATGATATTGGTTGCACTCCCATGATTAATCAATGCTTGACTTTTTCGTCTTTCATGTATCTCTGCTTGTTGGCTCTCATTGTGTTTTTTGATGTGCTGAAGTCACATACTCCTTAGCAAGATTCAGCATCATTTAGTCTATCAGTCTTTGTCTATGAAAAGACTACCGCATGTAAAATGCAGTAGTATAAGGAAAACAATTTTCCCCAGGACTGATTTTTGTTTAAATGAAAAAACAACGGATACAAGGAGAAAGAAGTATTTATCCGCAATAAGTGGGATAATCTGAAAGGGAAAAAGTTGCAAGCCATCAAGACACTGGATAACTGACTTAAGAAAATAACACGTAGGTTTGTTTGGATCTGTATCCCAGAGTTGAACCAATTAAGCTATAGAGCCAATGAATCTGCATTCACATAAGTGGAAGACACCTGATGTTTATAACACCACTTGCTAGTGGCTTACTGGAAGGGACATCAAGTATATACAGCACTCTCTGGAAGGTTGTGTATTTGAACACAAGCAGACGCATCAGCGCATATGTTGTGTGAGCAAAAGATATACGCTCTTTCTATGCTTATTCGATTTTCTCACAGATGTGCTTATACAGGCAACATCTCCTTGTTTAATTTTAAAGGAATCTATCTTGTCACAAAAGACTGCTTGGTAAACCTAGAGTACTCAGATGGCATAGTCTTTTTATGTGAAGTTACTGACAAGAGGCAGAGTCCCCTGGACACCTTGAGTGGTGATCTTAAAATGATCGGGATGTTTTTCTCGACACCCAAAGCAAATTTTTCCTGCAACACTGGTCAATGCTGTTGCCTTGTTTAATGATAGGAGGCGAGGTGGTTAAGTGTGCTGACCACCTCACTTACTTGAGAAGTCAGATGAATCATTAGCAGATGAAATCTCTGCACGAATACAAGAGGCTCTCTCGGTTTTCACTGACTCATACCATATATGGCGCCCCGTGATATTCGATTACCTATCAAAAATCGAGTGTACTGAGCTGCAGTTCACTCTGTTCTACCATGCGGTTGTGAAACACGGTACAGGGTATCAGGAGGCTTCAAGTGTTCGATCAACGTTGCCTTCTCAACAAAGGTCATGTGTTGTGAAACCACCTCGTAGGTGACTCACTAGGCAGATGTGAAGTTTTAGACAGAAGAAGAAAACCAATTCATCGACAGAGATGGCTGAGACATGTGTTAAGCACGCCTAGTAACCGTCTACCCTGTTGCTTAATGCCAGTTGACTAAAAAATGCCATCAGTTCATGAAGTCTACAACTATGAATCTTAGTCACGTAGGAAAATGCGGACTTGAGAGTCGATGTCTGAATGACAACAGAAACCACTCGTTGGATATTCTAGATGATAAGGTTCATAGTCGAGTTTATCTGTTCAAAAGTATCCATGCATTATATGCGTCTTAATTCAGATACCAGATTTATTATCTTACTCCTCGTTGTTCCCTTCTTATGAATTTCTACTACTCTTGACTACTTTCTCACTTACTTTTCTGTCTTAATCTTCGAGTATTCTCGCTTGATGTGTGCTGCTGCTATGAGGTGTGATAACGTGAAGCGTCACGCAGTAACGTTTCGTCACATAATAATGCTAACTAACTGACAAAGGATGCTGTTTTGAAGGCTGAAATCGTTATTGAAGTCTGAACAGCTGGGAAAATTCGAAGATGACGTAAGAATATTGACCGAGAAATGTGAGGAAAGACTAAGAGGCAAGAATGCTGAAGGTTAGTAGTGATTTAAGGTGACTTGAATGCTAACTGAGTTAGGAGTAGGCTGACACTTACTGACTGTAAACAGACATAAAATCAACGTAGAACGTCACACACAATTACACTGGCGTAAGTTACCACACTTCACAGTACCATACAAACAACAGATGGGTAGAAAAATACTCATATCAAAGTAGAGAACGTTGTGTGGGATAATTCGAAGTTAATGGTTAATATGAATATTCAAGCTTTAGAAGACGTCAATTATTGAATACATTTGTGCCGTTGTGACCGATTTTCAGCCACATCACTAGGAGTCTTGGTTGGCGATTTTTCTTGAGGTACCTGAAGAAAAGGGCTATTAATAGTGGTGCATAACCACAGAGCCCATGGAACATCCACTTGCAGTCGGTCACACACAGTCTTCCCAGAAGTTTGAAATTTAAGTATTTTTTCCATAAATCCAACTTAAAAAAGTATACCAACACAACTGGAAGACTGCGGGTCAGGGAGGAGTATGGTATTTTTAGGGCCGATTTTTCAGAATCCCTTTTTCCCATCGTGAAGGCAGCGTCAGTTTATTATTGTCGGTCATCGGCGTTAAACGCCTAACTGTTATCACTTCCCCATCCAACCAGTAGTTTTACTTCACCCCCACACCACATCACAGAGTATTAACTTACGCCAAATAGTAACTGCTTTTTGTTTTACCACCATTATCCAACAAACCTTCCTGACACATTAGGATCTGATGGAAAAGAATGGATAGTTGAGTCATTATTATCTACATACCTGACCACCACAAAACAACAGGTATCGGTCAGATAATCTACAACAAGACCAGTTCGAATCCAATTCGAAAACACATATCCCTTGTATATTTAAGACACGCTATACTGATGAGTACCAATCAAAGGCGTTAATAGTTTGCAAACTAGTATTTGTACTACTTATGAGTAGTTAAGGTAAAGAATAATAATAAGTCAGTAAAACAACTGATAGGAATGATAATATGAGTTACAATGATTAATCACTCATAAAGTGCACAGCATTGTTAAACACAGATTGGTCTTTATTCTTTATTAATACAAGAAAATCATTAGCATTGTGCATAAAGAATTACACTGAAGAAGTGATTTATGAATTGAATATATATATATATATATATATATATATATATATATATATATATATATATATATATATATATATATATATATATATATATATATATATATAAGTGAAAGTGTTGACGGTTTGTTTTCGTTTTCTTACTACAGTGACCAATCTACTTCAGAAAGGCCCATTTTAAAATCAATCATTATGCATAGAAATGCAAAGCTCATGTACACATTATATATTTATATAACATGCTAATATAATAATGTCTGAAATGTGTGTATGCATTCATTTATTAAAAATATTCACTTCTTTTCTTTTCTTTCTTTACATCAGTAAGGCTGTTACTACACTACGTGAGTTAAAAGGACAAACATACGAGAAAAAGGAAGAAAGAGGCAACCCAGTCTTCGCTAGTTTCAATAATTAAATTTTTATATGCATACACTACCTAATTTTAAGCATCTTACAGGGGAGAAAGAAACCTAGTTAATACGAAGCGGCAGTGTTAGTCGAAGAAGTTAGAACTTACTCTGCAGGTTTCTGCACATCTGTGTAGCAGGCGATAAGTCACACCTAGCAGCTGTAACGTCGGTAGACGAAGCGGTGTTGGATCCTGCAACCCACTGACTGATAATCAACCCCTTAAACCAAAGGATCCAAAATTTCAGGCTAGTATTAGTAGCATAAAAGGCCTTGAGTAGCGTTCACCGAGAAGTAATATCTCAGGCAGCCGCTTCAACGGTACGGTTTTAGTGCCACAAACTTTTGTCAACCTCAGTCAACAGTTATATGACGACGCTGCATACCAAGCGATTCACAACACAAAGTAATGCCTTTGAAGTGAAGACAGAAAGGAGTAAGACAAGGTTGCCGCCTACTGTCACCGATGATCTTCCTGATTGTGGTCGACTCGACTGAACTGAACTGGATCATACAAGAACCAACTGTGAGGAGCGAGGAGATGGGCATACACTGTTTGACCGATGGAAAGAGCCTAGAAGGAGATTTGGATTTCACGGCCGATGATGACTTATGTGTAATATCTTATGTAGCCTAAACTGGAAGATGTTCAGGCGAAAATTAACAAGTTGGCAGGAGAGGCGAGGCGAGGCGAGGCAGGGTAGGGTAGGGCAGCGAAGGAAGACGGGACTTCCTTCAGGTGAACGTAGAGAAGACAGAGGTGATGAAGATACCCAACCAACGACGACAACAACAACAACGATAACAACAACAAGCACCAATCACCATGAACGGTAGAAATGTAAACGGAGTTGTCTCTTTCACCTACTTACCCACCCACCCACCTACCTACCTACTTGTCTAGGCAGCATCATCTCAACTACAGGCGACGACGGTGGCGGCACAGATGAGGATGTCAAAGCCAGACAGGATCGGAAAGACAGCAGGATAGTCGGGCCTTCTTTCATTAATCTTAAATGTCTGTGTGTGTGTGTGTGTGTGTGTGTGTGTGTGTGTGTGTGTGTGTGTGTGTGGAGATCTGCTGCATTGCATTGCACTGCAGTGTAGTGCACTCAGCATAAAGCGTGGACAAGATCTGGATGTTTTACACTGATGTCAGTCAAGTAAGTCAGTGCTTCTATGTGATGGTTGAGAGACTTGGTGCGTTACGAAAGGCATTTCGAATAAACTGCAGACATACATCATGAATAGCTGCTGCCATCGCACGCTCGATACTGAAGATCAGATGGATGGTGAGAATAATAAGAATAAGCAACAAGGAACTCTGGCTCGCCCCACAATGAACCAACCAACCAACAAGCTATCGCCCAATAAATATGTAGAAGAAGGAGGTGGAGATGGATTGGATTGGATTGGATTGGACACAGACTGGGAAGACTGTTTGGAGACATCAGGCGTCAGGTCAGGTCAGGCCAGGCGGTTGAGTGGAACCGAAACGGGAGACGACGAGTTGGGCGTGCAAAGCGAGGGTGACATTAAGGAGATGGTGTTAGGAAGACTTGAAAGTTTATGGGGAGTCGTGTAGCCAGGTTGAGAGGACTGCAGAGAAGAGAGTGAGATGGCGACGTGCTACTGAATCCCCATGTTCCACTAGGGGGAACCCAAGGGACAAATAATAAAAAAAATTAGTAGCATAGATTGCTTATCGGTAAACTAATACATGAGTAATGCAGATGTTAGGCATAAAGTTTTACATAGAAGGGATAAGTTAATGAGTGAAATTCTGAAACTTCATTGGCCCAGGTGGCTGGATATCTGTTTTAAAGAGTGACTTTCTGTCTACACTGACGTTGTAGGTTAACTGGAGTAAGATTGGGCTGGAAAAACACTAACAGTGGTCAAACTGGAAAATCGCTGTCACTCTATGAAGTTTATGACTGTGTGTCTTAGCGTAAAGGAAACGTAGACCTCCTGAATGGGGCCAAGTTGACAATTAAAGTCCTTGGCTAAAGACTAAGTGATGTGGTTCTTTATTAGTTCCAGTGGTGCAGATGTATTCATGTCTTATCTTCATCCTAGCTGTTATACTACTGCTCGTTTTTTGCTTTTACCGTCCATTTTCTCTTGTGACGTTTTACGAATGTTGACTATATCGTATATGTATCTTTTCGACTTTCTTCTTGTCGCTATGACCTTTCATATGCTGATTCGAAGTGCGGCTGATGCTAACTGGTTTCAAGATGGTATTCATCATGAACTAACATCAGTTGGAGAAACACTGGAAACCTGGGAGCATTGGATAGCTGTTTTGTCCTAGTACGGGACTCCTCAGCAGTGTGCAGCCATAACCCCAGGACATTTAGGTTCTGTGGCTAGCACGTTATCATTGTGCCACTAGGTAGGGAGTCTAATGGTTTTTATTTTCTACTTCTGTCAGTTCATTATATAGCTTGACCTCCATTAAATCTCATCGACGAGTATCCGTCCTCATATCCTACTTGGTTAACCCTGCAGGTCACAACTTTTCATTAGAACTTCAGGAATCACCTCTAGAAAAGAGTCATCAATAAGTATTAGAATTATTCAACTTGGAAGTTTGTAGATTAACTGATTTACTGAAAAACAACAAAAATTACTAAGCAGAAAATACTTTAAATGAACTAACCGGATAGAATTTATCTCCTCGTTATTTACTTGACTAAGATTTAAACATGGCACAAATAGGATTTCCCAATTTGATAGACCCAAAATGCCATATAAGGCTAACTTATTGTGTGAAACTTCAAAACATCCATATCGATATACTGTATCCAGTGGTTTACCAAATAATTGTTTTTCTCCAGAATTCCTAATAGCTGTTAGCAAATGACCAGTTGGATTCTCTGAGGATACTCCTCGGAAGGGTACTTCATAGGCACAATAACAGCATGGTACATCATCCATTCCATCCAATTATCTCACGTGACTGTTATACAATCACCAGAAATATGAAAGACAAGTGGCAATAACAATATGATAGTTTTAGCAGATAATTACACCATATTTTTAGCGATTCTGTATCAAATAATCTATAAGAAAGATATTTAATATAAGAGCTGATAAAACGACACATAAAGTATACATTAAAATTGACACTCGTTCAAAATAGTATCTGACAAATTACCAAAGCATGCAACTGATTGAAATCTCTTAGTGACATGGCTGAAAATCGGTCACAATAGCGCAAATGTATTCACTCCTTGATATCTTAATTTTAAATATTTGCACTTACTGTTATCTTCAAATTGCTTCTTATCTCACACAATTCTGTTTACTTTGATATCAGTATTTTTCTACCCATCTGTTGTTTGTATAATACTGTGAAGTGTGGTAACTTGAGCCAGTGTACTTGTATGCAAAGTTTGACGTTGATTTTGTCTACTTGCCTCAACTAAACGTCCTATATGGAGAGTTTTTCTAGCATGTAGTTCCATTTTTTGAAAGCAATATCAATCCGGTTTTATGTACAGCTTATAGGGTTATAGTACAGCAGTTCTTCTACAAACTTGTTAAGAGCATTGTCATGTATAAATACTTCAAAGTCACTGTTAATCCCATTTAGAACAAATGATTCCCAACGATTTCATTTGACTGATATGAGGACCATTATCCATCCAAATCAACATAGGACCAGGTATTAATGTGTAACAGTCCGAGTTGCCACACCTCATATCACCACAGTAAGTGAAAAGGCAGTGAAGTGAAAGATAAAGAAAAGAAAACTCAGTCAAGAGAAATACAAAGTACTAAGTGAGAGAAAGGAAGAATGAGAAAATGGTGAGATTTTGTATAGCGTCTTTAAGATGAGGATAATGTGTTGATACATCTGCGCCACAGACTTCGGTTCTGAGTCATATCGTCTAGAATCAGTCGCCAACCACTGATTTCTCTTGTCCCACCAACCCCAACCACTTAGTCTGCATCGCCCCACATGACTCAAACCAACAGTCAAACCACTTCATACATTGATGCCATGTTTCAGTCTGGCTGCCTCCAGCCTTTTTCCATCCTGAACCTACATCGCTCAACATTGTGTGACGAGGAAGACGGCGACTAGGCATACGTAACACGTGTCCCAGCCAGCCATCTCAGTCGATGAAGGTTCACAACCATGTCAACTGACTTGCCTCTTCTCCCTAAAACTTTACACTTGACTTTGCGTTACTTACCTGGTAGTGACACCACGGTATATGGCCTATACTACGAAGGTGACGGTGGTCAAACATCTGACGCCTTCTCAAGTCTTCCAACTTCAATGGCCATGTTTCACAGCCATTCAGTAGAAGAGAGAGGACTGCTGTGCAGGTGCAGTACACGCGACCCTTCACAGACAATCGGATATCACGGCGGCGTCATAGGTGGTGTAAGTTGGCAAAAGCCAGTCGAGCCTTTTGTATCAATGCAGAGATTTCATCGGCCACTGACCAACGCACCAGGGCTGATCCCACTTCGCAGACATGTGAAGTGATCAATACACTCAACCTCTACACTCTCTATTGTTAGCTGAGGCACTGCTGAACACCAATGCTGGAGCAACAATTTGCATTTGGGTGGTAGGAAAGGCATCCCAAACATTCTCAAATTGCTACTCAAAGTGTCCAAATGACTCTGCATCTTGTCAATGCCTTCACCTAACAGGACTGTCACCTGCATATTCTAGGTCTGACGAAAATTCTCCCAAGATCAGGTCAACCTCTGTGTAATCAGGCGACGAGAGGGAGACCTCCACAAGAATATCTATGATAAAATTGAATAAGAATGAAGAGAATAGGGAGTGTTGACGGACACCATTCGATGGATACGGCTCCCCGGCTCGAACACACCCGCAAGTGTTCGAGTAGAGAGCCTTCAATGAGGTGATGTACTTACTCGGCACGCCTTTCAGTGACAGACATTGCCATAAGACTTCTCGATCAACGGAGTCGAATGCCGCCTTCAAGTAGGGAAACACAGCTATTGTCGGGCGTCGGTAAGCGTGCCTGTATTCTAGAACCTGGTGCAGGATGAATATTTGGTCGATACACCTGCAGCCGGGTCCATAGCCAGCCTGATTTTCTCGGGCTTGGTGTTCCCGAGCTCCACTCAGAAGTCGGAGAATTACAGAACCTAGAATTTTATACACTATGTTCGTCAGCCTGGGGTTATCACATGAAGACTTTCCGCCTTTCTTGAAGACTGAAATATTCAGTGATTTAGACCAGTCAGAGGGGATCGTATTTGATTCCCATATACTAGTTAACACTTCCGTTAACCTGACTAAGAGCACTCTACCACCATCCTAGTATACTTCAGGAGTTAGTCCGTCTGGTTCTGTTGCCCATCCTCGTTTCAAGTTACCTACAGCTTTCACGACTTCTGTAAGTGTTAGGAGGCCTATCTCAATGTTCCATTCAGGGTCCGACTGGATAGTAGGCAACGCAGTGGCGGCTGGAGGCAAAACAATCTGAAACTTCTCCGATAAAATTTGAGAGGATGGTAAGTGAACGTTAATTGACGAGTAAGTGCAATTACTTAGCATTGTCTACTGTCGTTTCACAAAGACAGAGACTATTCTGAAAGGAGGGATTTCTCCTAAATGTTACCAACGGAGGACTAAAACAATGACAAAAGGATTGAACTTAGAGGAATTTGAACTGAGATTAAGTTATCCTTTGCTGATGTTCAGTGTAGCAGTTGGATACTAGAAGTGACCAATCACATTCTGATTCTTATGTTTTTCTGTAATAAAAAAGTATGATCGACCCGTATGAAATATGAATGAAGCTCTATTTTGAGTTTTGTAAGGGGGTTGAGACTTACAAAACGTATGATAACTAGTCAATCGAAACACAAGTAAACACGGAGTAAAATTAAAATATTAATGTAGATGACTAATTTACTCTTGATAGCTACTTCAAGCCAAAGTTATGACTAGTTTTGGAATATCACCTTATATTTAACATATCCAGAAAACATGTCGAACATTCTCAAACCTATTCCTTTATTGTTTAGAGTTTATTAATTTTTGCCATTATCTTTACTAAGTAGGACCACCAGCAGGTCTAATTACTGTAAGACAGAGGATATAAGACATCAAACCATTCATGTGAAAACATGAATACTAGCGAAGAAGCTGAATGAAATAGAGATGTCATGTATCTTTGCATAAATCATGATAGTAAAGTTTAACTCGTACTGTGTGAATTCAAAAGATTTTTAAGAGCACGATAAAATTTTAGAACACTTGTCTCAGAAATAAACATGATCGTAGAAAATGGTGACTGAAAAGGTTGAATGTAGTACTAAAATTGAGCGCACCTATAAGTTAACTTTCTAAAACTCTACCTCGCCATTTCAAGCAGGCCAACGCACAAAGTATAGAGTGGAAAGATAAAAACGCTGCGTACTCTAACTTCGAATATCTGAAAATACTGCAGCACATAAAAGATCTGTGGTTCATTGGTTTAAGCACTTGACTTTCATGTAATCGTATTTGAGTTCAAATCACTATTCATCCGCTAAGACCAGGGTCGCTACATAATACCATGCATCCATATTGTGAGGTTTATAATCTTGTACACAAACCCGTACTGGATAGATAAGTTACCCTATTTGTTAAGATGTAGCCCTCTAGTCTACACATTTGACTTTGTGGAGCTGTGACTTACTGTTTTAAGTAACTGGATCAAAACCATCACGTGAGTAGTTCCAATTCTGCTCCACCTATTAAGATCGAGGTAACCAGGTAGCATTATCAGTTGTTATACAAGTGGGCTCAATGTCTAATTAGTGAATTCGCACATTGACACCAACCTACTTCGTTCATAAATTACAGTAACATAATTAGTAACTATTAGTTATTGATATTCTAGGTCTTCGGTTTTTTGTCAGTGAAATAAGAATTCCCTCAGATATACTTCTGACTTTGGATATTTAGCATCAACAGTCTTACACTGCAGCACCCAAGAATAAAACGACCTAATTTGTTATCTCATCTCAATCAGAAATCACTTACACGCGATAAAAAGATGCAAAACCATGTCACTTCTTTACCGCTCTATATGACCGTCATTTTTATCAGTCACTTTGACGTCAAATAAACAAGAATATCCTAGTTCAAATGCTGTCTAAAGTTACTGCAGAAATCGCTTCTTACTATCTTCACACACAGACACAAATTCGACACATAAATTCATGGTCAGATATGAATAAACAATTCAAAGATAATGGTTAGTGCAAATATTCAAGCTTTAGAAAACGTCAGAGTGAATAAATCTGCGTCATTGTGATCGATTCCCGACCATGTCACCAACAGTCCTCATCCACTGATTTTCTTCGTTTCGGCGGCCCTGACATGGTAGTCTACATCTCCGTCCATGGCTCAGACGAACAGTTAGAGACTTCACTAACTAGTGCCAGATCTTGGTGTGGTAATCCTTTTCCACCTAACTTGCCCTAGCATGGCATGTCGAGTAAGCGGTGGCTTGTCATGCGTAGTACATGTCCAAGCCATTTCAGTCGACTAAGGTTCACAACTTCAATCGACTTACTTTTCTTGCCTACGTTTGACATGGGGTGAGGGTATGGAGGACGGATTAGAATAAGTGAGATCCATTCCCGAAATATATATGGTGTATTAAGTGCCATAATTTATTTAGAAGGTAAAGTCGGTACATCATAGGCACCAAAAGAGTCATCCAAAACAATATAACACCACGATATTAAAGTGATAAATACGGGAGAAAAAAGGAAAATTGGAGAAATGGGTTATTAAAGAGCGAATCTTAAGTATATATCCAAAGAAGCACTCACTACTTCCGTGTTACTTTTGAGTAATGCAAGGAACAAGAAAGCTGCAGCATGATCACCACTGGTTTCAATCGTAAGTTATATTAGCTATTGTCTTAAGTTATTGAGTTGTGTAATCTTCCGGACCTTATCCACGGATTCGTGGCCCCCCAGAGATGCCAACGTAACACAACTATCCTTCATCCCACAGCTCCATATCAAACTGACCACATTTCCGCTGCTTCTTTCAACTAGTCACAGGGCAGCGAACAGTGAACGGCGTGGGAGCCAGTGGGACGCTAGATGAAACAAATGTTCAATCCAACAAAGCTAAAATGCAACCTGTAAGAAACCCCCCAAAGTCCAATGCCAACCACTATGAGACATAAGAAATAGCACCTTACTATTCAAGCCTAATAAGGTGCAGCGCGGCTTGAACCTGTGAAATAGCTCAAAGCTGACTACCTAGTATTTAAATACACACTAGGCACATGGGTCGCAGTATCAATTAAACCGAATGCGTCGTATCTTCGATTGTTCAGACAAATTTTTATTCACATTTAGTTACAGACTGAACATCATACTAAGCCAAAAGAATGTTTGCATGATTCTCAATTTGTGATAAAACCTAAACCTGAAAGCAGCTAAGAGGGTTGAAGATATTAAATTCTTCAGAAAGAATATTAAGGCGAAACATCAAATATTTAATTACTTTATTCGTCCTATCATCTACTGACTTACCTACCATGTGAAAAACTCTCAGAAACAGTGGACAGAAAATCCAACACAGAACATTACATAAAATAAGAGCTCAAGTGATGACTGATAATACTATACGTGTTGTTCACTGAGGAAGCACAAGCCGAGACAAAAATAGTCAAGCATAAACCTTCTCAACCCTAAAAAATAGTCGGGTGATTAGCTTTTCCAACCTAGTTACAGATAAAACAAACGGATTTACTTGACAGAGGGTTCTTAAATAAATCAAACAGAGGACTAAAAGTTTATCTATTCCCCTATCCCCACAAATCAAAGATGACATTAGCAGAATCGAAAAACTGAACCCATCTGAAGTTACCAATCTGCAGGAAACTGGTTACCGGTTAATTTACGTCGTGTCCATAAGTACAGTATGTGCTTTGCACCATCGAAGTATCAAGTACTTTTGCAAGATTGGCAGGATCTTGTATCTGTGCTCACCCTTGGTGGTGAGCTGTTGAAGGTAGTCCAGAAGTTCTTGTACCTAAGTCGTTGTTTGAGTGCTGATGGAGGTGAATGGTGAAATTTCTAACGGCATACCGAAAACCAGAGTAGCATGTGCCAGTCTGAGCCACCTTTGGTGCCGTGGCGACATTAGTCTGACAGAAAAAGGTCGGGTTCACAAAGAATCGATGCGAGCAGTTCTGCTCTACACCTGTGAAACATGGCCTCACCGAGCTCAGGATGTGCGACGACTCTGTGCTAGATCGTCTTTGTCTCTGTATGATTGCTTGTATCTGGTGCCAACACTAAGTAAGTAATTCTGAAGTACGACAGCGTGAGTTTGGGCATGATGGAGATCGTCATTCAATAAGTGAAGTTATCTGGAAATGTCGGCTTCAGTGGCTTGGAGATGTATTATGCATGCCATCTCAACGGTTTGCAAACCGTTCAGTTTGCTAGCCTTGGGTCTGGAACTTAATGAAAGAAGCTGAAGGGTGATCAGTACATGATGTGGCGCCATGGGATGAAGGATAGTTGTATCGGATTAGCATCTGTTGGTGCACCATGACTCCCTGGGTGGGGTCCGAGAGACCATGCAACTCAATGACTTGAGACGTTATCAGATTTGGCTCAGAATCGAAACCAGTGGCGGTCATGCAATAGCTTCCTTTTATTTTCTGTCGCTGCAAGTAATGAATGACTTTTCTGGATGTATCTTATTAGACTGCCTTACTAATCATTCTGTTTCTTTTTACCCACTTCCCTCTAATTTACGTCTTTACAATATTGTCATATTATTGTGTTTCATTTTTTATTGCCCTTGATGTATCAGGTTTGTGTTCTAATGATAAAAAATAAAAGCTTAGAATATTCTTGCCAATCTTATTATAGGTAGGACACCTTAAAACTTGTTCAGAGTTAGAAGTGCTGAGGGAAAGAATGAAAATATTTATATTGGTTTAAGAGCTGTGATAGGAGATACTTGTGATACTCGTCAAGGTTTGAAAATGAGTTTAAGTATTAAATTAGGCACTGAGTTACAAGAGTTGGAATAACTGAAAGCTAGCTTTCAAGGTGTAAGAGCTGAGAACAAAGTTACCAAGGGAAACAAAACCAGAAACTAGGTCCTCTTCTAAGCACCAGTGCTGACTTTCTCCGCCGTAACAGTATGGACCGCTGATTCAACCGGAATGAGGTGTTAGGGGTAAAACAGCAGGAACCCATAATAGCACACTAATATTCGGTGATCTTTCAGTGCTGACAGTTTGGGTTTGAAGTTAGACTGGAAAAAACACTAAATTTTCAAACTTACAAAAGGAAGTTGTGCCGCCGGCCTTAAGCAGCCATCTATTCGACGCTGCAGTCAAACACTACTAAGACTAACATATCTTTTTCGAGTACATCAATTAGAAAAAGACTTCCATGGGATAGGCAGTCAAGAAGCAGCATCTACCTTTACAACTATATCAGTACTTGAGTTCCTTCAAACTACTATCAACTTCTCACATCCTCGCTTTTTAACTTTTCTCTACGTATACTGGTTAATGTTCCTTAGCAATGTTTTTTTTCAGCTTTCAGCTCTTGACAACGAACTGAGTTCACAGACCAACATCCCTAGTTTTTTGAAAACTCATTCCAAACCACATATTGGGGCTTTCAATGTCCGGACTCTCCAGTAAGTCAAAAATCAAGTTTCACTAGCCTAAATATTCTGTTTCTCAAGCTACGGATGTTTTGAATTTGTGAGACACATACAAAGCTTAAGTGCAGTAATTCAGTTAGCATCAGCCGGTTATTATGGTGAGTCTGCGAAATTCACTTCCCGAGTTTCTTTTGATACCATGGCTAGTTCTTGGGGTTTTGCAATCGCAGGTTTAGCATTAAGTCCTAAGACAGAAACTGTATTGCTTGACTGGATCCCAGTTGAAAACTGCCTGTGCGCTGCTCAACTGAACAGTACAGTAAGGACTGAAGGAAATAGTGAAACTCATCGGTGCCTGTTTTCCACCAATGTTTGTGGATGCAGTGAAGGATGCGATCTACTGAAAACTATCTAACCTCCTAGTGAAAACAAAGGGCTCAGACATGGTTGTAGTAGATAGTGATTTCAATGTATAAGTGGGTAGGGTAAGTCAGATAGAAAAACATTTAGGTGACACTTTCAGGATCTCGATTAATGGTTGGTGAGACAATACTTAATAGCACCCGGCACTAGCTATATTTCTTGACATGAAAGTAGTATTTAATATCGTCAAACAAGACACCAGCAAAAACCGGTTTCGTAGCAACGATTTGCATTTGGGTGGTGAGAAACATATCCTAGACATTTTGAAATCACTACTCAAGATGTTCAGAAAACTGCCTCTTGTCAGCAAATTCACCTAAGACCACCATGCCATCTGAGTACTCTGGGTTTACCAGGGAGACTCGTGTGATAAGATCAAATTTTGTACGGTTAGACGACGATGGAAGACCTCCATACTAGCTTTCATGAAAAAATTCAATAGAAATGTAGAGAGTGGAAGCTCTTTATAGACACTAAGTCAATGGTTTAGCATGACAGCTCTTTTCATCGTTTTAGTCAAACTTTTATCTTTGGCAATGCGAAAATCATGTAGTTCATGCATCTTAAATTCTGATAAAAACCTGTAGTACATAGTTTACCATTGGCTTTATTCAGTAAGATCAATTTTCCCTCATTTCCTTTCAAAAGTGTCAGATGTAGTACGAGAAGGATTTCGGGCTTTATATTGGATCGATTCTGAATTCTAATATAGGGAATCAACCCAGGTCATATGCCTATCGGAAAAAACACCAAAAAACTACTTTTCCGAGAGAATTTTGAATAGTAATTCACTTGATATGTGTACATATTGATGGCGATCCAATTTGCAGACAATTTGTACACTTCTAATATCCAATATCTTTTAACGAGCTAGTGTAAACCAATTGATTTCTTCGCGCTCGCTTCAAGGTCTTGCGGAACGGTTCCAGGTATTTGGTGGATTCCAATGCAGTAGGTCTACCCACTCGACTGCTGTAGCTCTGGTTAGACCGACGGGCGGTTGGGTGTTGTTTAGATTTGTAGGGAGTGTTTGTTTGTTTGCTTTTCTTCCGAGGACTATGGCTAAATTTAAGTCACATCTTAGCCGTCCTAGGCCTAAATAAGCCTGTCACACTTTATCTCAACTCGAAAAATAAAAAGGGTTATAGTTCAAGCTAAAGTGCCCTTTAGACACTTAAGTGTCACTTTAATTAGTTAATTGACAAATACGCACATTTAAAACACGACGAAAAAAAGTGAGATTCTACATTTGAATCCTGGCCTCATAACGCTTAATCGATTTCAAGGTTATAATCACCAAGCGTCAACTTACTAGGGATAAAATCAAGAATACAATAACGTCCACGCAAAACCATACATTACAGCTGCAGCGCATATGTCGGATGCCGCGCTTTATTTTCTATTTAACAGACAAATAACATTCAACAAACTGACATGCATTTGATTCAGACAACATGATTCGGGTTTCTAAGACAGTGATAGGAGGAATGAGGGCATATATGCCTTCCTATGTAACCTCCATGCATCTCAGCCCTCTCTTGCATATATCAATCCATAAAGCGGATACCATTTCTTCTAGAGGTCGGTTCGGAGAGTTGAACATGGACCAGAACTCTGCGGAGATAACATCCGTATTTCAGCTTTTCACTCTACCGATTTATATTTTATCTGCGTAAGCCTGGTGGAAGGGAAAAGCATATGTCGGAGACAAAATCACTTCCTTAAGTCCCGAATGCCCTGGCTAGCCATCCCCTCATCTAGTTTTAAGGAGGAGAAATTTAGCCACTTAGGTCACTAGTCATCGACCAAGTTAGTTATTCTTGAAATTGTGCCAGAAGCTGCCTTTTAACTGTTCTTAGAGGGCCTGAGTCACCTATAGACACAGGTTTTCTAGTTTGAATCTTGCTAAGAATATCTATAAGTTGGTGAATACATTGTTACTCATTCCAGTAAAATTTCTGAGTACTGGCAAAAGGTTTCCAAAACTTTGAACTGCTTTCAATATAAAGCGTTCCGCGGTTCTTAAGTCATTACTCACTGTGACTCCTACACTATTGTTGGTCAGTCCTGAGGCTTGAAAAGTCCCACCATTATCGCATGTATTACAGTCTGCATGCCTACACTCTCACCCGAGCTAATGGACACTAGCCATCTCTTCAATCAGGTAGACAGACTGTTTAGACCTATCCAATGTGTGCATTCATCATCTGCCCGATAAAATATCTAGGTCACTGAGTTTTTCGTCCCACATATTCCATCATTTTCCCCCACGTTTTCGTTTGCTTCAAGCGTTTTGTTGTCGTCGAGTCGGATTGTTCACCCACGCACATTTTTCAAGTGTCCGCAACCAGTTTCGATACTTTCATCAAATAAAACGAGGAACTGAAACGTGTTTTGAGGTGAACAACTCTATTTTACGTGACTGTTCTACGAATTCCAAGCAGGAACTCCAGGCTGTTGCAGGTAAAAGTGGGTCATCTACAATACTGCTTATCCTCCATTATGTCACGTGATTCTGGGGTAGTTACATGGCAAGAAACTCGTTGAAGTAGCAATCATGATGACGATTTGTTTTCTCCGAATGGCTTCAAAATTCTCCTTCAAGGTAGATGTAGCTTTACTAAGAAATGAGGAGGTATTACAGTTATGGCTACACCACCTTGATAAAAGTATACCTTCATCGGTATCCCCCGTGCATTTTGAGCTTCATATTCCCAAATGATTACATAGGCAGCCCAAAAACTTGGATAAAAACCGTTCCATTTATATCACAAATATTTACGTGATGCCCGGCTGTAGCAACTTTAAATTATCTAGTTATTCTGGTACATTCACGAAATTAGCAGCCGCAATACCCTGTGGTCGCTGGTCTATGATTTGGTGATTTTGTTTCATTTATCTACGGCTTTCTCAAAACGTTTAGTCACTGAAACCTCGTCAACTTCACGACATGTCAGGATGCAGCACTAGACGGGACGAAACCATCTTTCGGGATAAATTTTTTCACCTTTGATCTCTGATCACTGTGTCTGAGGAAAGTCAGTTCACATGCCTGAGGTAATTCGTCCAGCAGCTGTGCTTCACACCTGAAGTCGCCTGTTTTTAGCACACAGCGAATTTCATAGTTTACTGAATTAAGGTGGCTGGAAACATTTGTAATGCGGATCTTGCGTTACTATTGCCTTGTACTTGGCCGGCCTTACGTAAACTACTGTGTGCCAGTACCCACGTGTGCTAACAAAAAACAAATCTGGAAACACGTTGTGTGCAAAAAAGCATTCAGGTAGAAAGTTCATTTAATAAGCAAAGAATAAGAGGTTAAATTAATGAAGGAAATTGCTAGGCAACCACCACTTGCCCCTCAAAGTGGAGAACCAATGAAATCTTCATTCCTCGCATTGATACAGCCCAGGCGACCCAAGGAAACTGAACAGACTGAGCAGAGAGGTTGTCAAGGGCAAGTGGACGGAAGCAAATACGGGATACGGCAAACCAAAACCATCGGCTACCAAACCCAACACGCTGCGCCCACGTGACAGGAAAACGGACTCCATCATTCTGTTCAATGGCCCTACACCAACAGACTCGCCCTTGGAAAAGAGATAGCGGTCTTAAAAGAACAAATGAAATGACTTCTACGAGGACCTATGGGTAGAACCAATTACAGCCAGCCTGCGTCGGCTCTCTCGAAGAAGTAGGGCACTTCAAGATAGGCTACCATCTCTCCGGAATATCACCGACGACAGTGGACCAGTTGTAAAACGCACTGCTGCTGCCACATTAACCGGACACCCCAAGCCCCTATGTCATGAGGATGCCAGATAGATCATGGGTCACCAGAGAGGCGGACAGAAACTTTGAACTTAGTGATATGCACAAAGCTGCAACCGTGGTGGTACCTGGAATACCTGAACTGACGAGAAGGTCCACAAAATGTGATCATTACCTCCATAACGCCAAGTAGCGGAGGTGGCCGGTGGGAAAGGTGAGACTAGAAAATTTGCCTGGCGGCAGAGTAAGTAGATTACCAAGACGCACTCACCTGCACAGCATCTCTTTACAGGGGTTGCTTGCCATACATTTCGGCTCCAAGGGCTCACAGACAGAAACCCCCACTGCAAGGCACTACGTAAAAGATCAAGCAGAAGGTGCTATGCGATGCCGTAAAAGTAAACCACGGTCAGCTACACTGAAAGATAGGAGGTAACCTCCAAAACACTGCAGACGACACTAGTCACAAAAGAATGAAACCCTCGCACCAACACCGGGATGCCACGAGGGACCGAAAAATGGAGGCTTGCCAGTCCAGTAGGGACTGGTGGTTAGAACCCAATTGAACATTACACTAACCTCCACACGAGTTACTGTACAGCGCCATTCCCAAAATGTTGGCTCGTGACATGCTGCTACAACAACATGGGGTCCTAGACGTAAAGCGCTGGGAATGAGAAAAATGTGCTGTCATCTGCGTGAAGATGTATTTTTCGTGGCGGAGACACGGCTGTCCTCAGACACCTTGGAGCAGGAAGTGTCTTCACCTAGCATGACCTCGTTCCAGGAGGACCGGCAGCTCAAAGGAGCAGAAGGAGTGGCCATATACATTAGCGCACACCCAAACCTCGGGCAGGCAACCGATAATGTGTTTGGTCAACTACGAGACTCCTTGTGATGCTACCTCACAATAAACCAGAGTACCTATTGGGTGTGGCATGCAGGCCTTCTCTATGCATAACAGAGCATAAGGCACAGTTTCTTAATGAGGTTTCGACACCTACTTTGGCAGCCTAGGACCAAGTAGTCCTCACCGCAGACCTCAACACACCTGCGCTTAACCCGAAACCGGAAGTTGACTACAGACATAAGTCTTTTGAACACAGACTTCCAAGACATGTCATCAGGAATAATAAAGATACTCGAGAGGGACTAAGTGGAAAAAGGTCAAGACTTGACCACGTTCTAACAGACGATGTTCTTTTGGTGGACGACATCCATGCCACCCATCTCCGGGCAAAATCGTTCACACTATGGTGCAACTTTCTTTGATAACCAGGGAGAAACTACTAGCAGTCGACCCAAAAGCGGTTTACAGTTACCAAAAGGCGGACTACCAGGTCATCAACGGTGAACTGAAAACTTCATGGCCATGAAAATACCACTGTCTATCGGCAGATAAACACTCGATACATACTTAGGACATTATCTAGGGCCCCACCTGAAGGAATATTTCGAAATTAACCAGACGATAGGCTCTCAAATGGTCTTAGGTTACTCACGCAACCCGAAGGCGAATCGGGAGAAAAAAGAAGGCACAGTATTGGGGGTGCACATCACATAGGGAATCGGACTTTCTAAGCCATCAGAAGTTACGCAGCTTGTGTAATGTCAGTGTTCGTAACGATCGATACAAATACTGGAGTTAATTGGCCAAACAACTGATCTGCTACCTGAAAAGCCTATGAGTGATGACTCATACCCGATCACCAGACCAAGCAAAGAGCCTCTGGATGGTGGTGAGATGGTGGAATTGTAGAGTAGCCGCTTTGACAAGAAGGTCAGTACAATGAAGCGTCTGCCATCAACGCTCAGCAGCGTAGCGAAATTTGGGGGCTTTGATGCAGAGCTGGTGAACGTAGACTTTTTCGAACTGCTCAGAATGAGGAAGTCCCCCGGCTGCAGCAACGTAAGATCAGTGGTCCCACGAAATTGCGTCGAAGCGCTAAGCATGCCCCCAACGGGATCTGCCCGTAGACGATCTGGAAGCAAGTCACCTTCTCAAACGGCGGAAGCGTGCCAGCTTTTCACCAATCTTCTGGGGAGGGGACCGAGAGAACCCGCACAATTATGGACAGATAGGGTTCATTCCCATACTTTACAAGGTACTGGAAAGCCTGCCTGCAGATGTTGTTTGGGGCGGCCTAAACAGAAACAACAACGCTTATCTCACCCAACATGACGTTGGGACCAAGCGGTCATATGCCATAAACCTGATGACCGCTTGGAATGACTGGACCACCAGATGGGACAACAAGCAACCAGTCCACGTTATCTTTCTGAACTTAGCCAAAGCTTTCAGTGGCGCCCTACGCTGCACCATGCTCATTAAGCTTTCAGAAACGAGTATCACTGAATCACACGTAACATGGTGTAGAGCATACCTAAGGGACAGAGAATTTCGTGTTAAAGTAAACAGAATTCGATCAGCTTGGTGGGGTGCAGGAAAAAAAGTTTCTCATGGAGGAATCCCTTGACCACTCCTGTTTCTACGTTTCATGAATAACCCTCCAGCCAGGATCTTCTCTTCTACGCTCCTGTTAGCCAGCGAAATCAAAATATGGAGGACATTAGGTGGGGAAGAGAACCCTAGGATACCGAAGGATGATCT